GCTGTTGCTCGAGATCCCCCCCAAAAGGGTCCGGGGGCCCCTCCCCCATTCCCTTCCCCGAAGCCAGGCGACGGGCAGGCGGGCCCGTGGCTGCCAGCTCCGGGAGCACGGGCAGCCAGGACCCCCGTGGGCCTCCGAAGCCCCCCCGCCCCCGGCGCCCCCTCCCCAGGGCGGGCGCGGGGGGTCCGGGGGGCGCCTCCTCACCTTCCCCTCAGCATGGCGCCCAAAAAAGACAGAGCGAGAACGAGGGAGAGCGGGCGAGCGCCGCGAGGGGGGGGAAACGCATGAGGCCGGGAGAGAAAGCAAGTGAGAAAGAGCGAGCGAGCGAGAGACACCCACCGACCCCGCCCTTCCTCCTCCTCCTCCTCCTCCTCCGCGGCCCGGCCCAACATGGCGGCCGCCCCCCTTCCTCCTCCTCCTCAACCTCCCCCCGGGGACGCCGCCCCGGCCGGGCCGGGGGCCTGACCTGTCGTCAGGGAGCGGGAGGCGGTGGTGGAGGAGGTGCGGGGTGGCCAGGCAGGCGTCGGGGGAACACGGAGGAGGCGAAGGCGTTGATGGCGGTGGCGGCGATGGCGGCGGCAGCGACTCTGATGGCGGCGGCGGGGGGGTCCCGGGCACGGCCTCCATAGTTCCTTTGGGGGGGAGGGGATGTTAATGCACGAAAAAGGACTGCTTGGGCGTGGCGGGAGGGGCACACTTCAGCTCTGAGGGCTCCTGATAGTAATGGGTATATATTTTTTCAGTTTCGGAATCACCTCTGCGCCGACCTCCGCGTAGGCCGCGCGGCCTAGGCCTCAGCGGGCCGCTCGCCGCCTGCTTTCTCCGCAGCCCGCCCCTGGGGTCACTCGCTCACAGGCGCGGGGCCCTCATCGGGGCGAGAGCACCCACACACACACACCGCTGCGGGCCCGGGAGTGGGAGACCCGGGGGACACGGACACTGGTGGGTGGTTCGGTGTAATTAGCGCGGGCCGCGCGCAATGGAGCAAGCGAGGGGAAAAGGGAAAAGAGGAGAGCGAGCGAGGGCGATTAAAAAAAAAAAAAAGTAATTTAGGAAAAGGAAACGGTCCGCAGAGACAGGCCGACTGTCTGCCGGCCCTTGGTGCCCCGGCTTCCCGGCCCCCGCCGCAGTCAGAAATTCACACAAAATGGCGGCTCGGGCCCGGACGTTCCAAGAGGCTGAGGCGGGAGGAAGGGCGAGGTGGGAGGGGGAACTGGGAGGTGGAGGCGGCGTCACGTGGAGGAGAGAGGCACAGACTGCTCTTCCGAAGGGCCGCGGAAAGAGCCGAAGGGAGAGAGTGAGGCCGAGGCAAGGCGGAAAAAGCCGGAAGGAGCTGAGCTGAAGATCGCGAGAGGCGGAAAGAGCCGAAGTTGTTAACGGGGGTGGGGCTAGAGAAAGAATGGGAGGCCCCGGGGAGCCGGAAATAGCCGAAGCAAATCGGGACTGGGAAAAAACAAGGAACTGAGGTGATCCGAAAAGAAGCGAAGGCGGTGTCTAGGGTGGGTGACAGGAGGCGGAAACAGCCGACTGACGCCCGGCGGCGGTAATAGGATTTAGACGGAAAGAGCTGAAGTGTAGGGCTAGTGAAGCAATTAATTAAGAGAGTAAAAGACTTTGAGGAATTCGCTCGAGAGCAAGCGGGGAGAACCGAAAATTGCTACCTTGAGGGAAGGCGGGAAGAGTCGAAAGTTTTAGGTGGGAGAATGGGAAAGAAGGAATTCGGGCTATGGAGAGAAAAAAATAACCGAAGGCTGGAGACCGGGTGCCTGGAGTTGTAGGTTTCCGGAGGATGAAGCAGAACAGGCCCGGAGATGACATCATTAGAGACCTGGGTTGATGATGTTATCCTTGGGCGGTGCGGGTGGGCGGGGAGGGCGGTCCTTGGTAGTGCTTTGGGGGAGTTAAGAACCTAGAGCTTGCTTAGTAGGTGGAAGATCTTAAATGCCGGACATGGGAGCACTAACCGGGTTCGAGTATAAAAACGTAAAATCTTTTGATCCTCACAACTGTACTAAGGGGAGCTACTATTGGCTGCCCATTTTTAAATTTTAAAGTGAGAATTATTTTATTTTATTTCTTTATTTATTGGCTGCTTTGGGTCTCCGTTGCTGCACGCGGACTTTCTCTAGTTGCGGCGAGCGGGGCTACTCTTCGTTGTGGTGCGCGGGCTTCTCATTGCGGTGGCTTCTCTTGCTGCGGAGCGCGGGCTTTAGGCGTGCCGGCTCCAGTAGTTGCAGCACGCGGGCTCAGTAGTTGTGGCGCACGGGCCTAGTTGCTCCGCGGCGTGTGAGATCTTCCCGCACCAGTGTTCGAACCCGTGTCCCCTGCATCAGCAGGCAGATTGTTAACCACGGTGCCACCAGGGAAGTCCAAGCTGCCCGTTTAATCGGTGCAGACTGAACCTCGCGGTGTCTAGGTACTTGGCTCTTGCCCCCAGCAAAAACTCTGTTCAGTCCTGTTTACAAGAGAGGATCTTCATTCGATGCTTTTGTGAGCTCCTTGTATAGTGCCAAGTCCTGTAAATGGGCGAATGGAACATAGTTTCTTTTTGGAGCTTAAAAACTGATAATGCCCCAGGGGAAAGAAACTCTAAGTTGAAGAGTAAGGGGGGCTCCTATTATACTGGGGAACAGGGTTGTTTAAGCTAAGACATGAAGAAGAGATAATTCCAGGCAAAAGAAATAGCTTATTTCATGCCCTGAAACAAGGCAAGGACGACTTAGTTTCCAGGAACAGAGAAAATCCTGGAGACAGAGGCGCCAGATCACCCGCTATATTAATCTTACTATAAAATTTAAAATGTCCCAAACCTGGTCTGGGACACAAGCTCTTCGTGTGGGTGATTTACAACCTCCTTCAGGGAAGAAATTGGCATTCCTGATAAAGTGAAATGATTAAGCCATTTTCTATTGAATTTTGATGGAATGAAACTTCTGGGAAATCAGTGGCCCACCCAGTTAACAGTCAGCTGACCGCCAGCCAAGAATCTGCTATCTTTAACTGGATCATCTTTTCTTCCTGGATCTAATCTGTAGTCTAATGGGGTTATTTAACAATTCTCTTCTATAAAATGACCTTACCAAGAGAAAATGTTTCAGTTGGCCTACAAGAGACCTTTTTTCCTTGCATGCATCATTGTAATAAAACATTGGCACATGCTCATAACTAAATTGTCCAAAAAAGGATTTTTTTTTTTTTTAACACACAGAGAGCTAGTAGAGCAGGATTGTGAGAATGGAAAGGAAAAGCACAGAAGTGGGTCATTATGTGTCATTGTGAAAGGTGCCATTCCCCTTCTATGCCTTGATTTCTGAACCCCGTGTATTCTAGTTGTAGACAAAACAATACTAGGTGAGACCACAGACCATGTCTAGGAAGATGGTACCCTGTCCTTTCAAGATCTGGTCTCCAGTTGGCACCATTTCTGAAGCTTCAATAAGCCACAATTCTAGAGGGCCTTCTGCTTTTGAGGGCCATTTCCTTTTAGGTAATGAGGAAAATGAAAATGTCAGCGAATCCCAGGGAGCAAGATTTCTCCATGCTTTTTCAGTGTCAAACTACAACGTTGTCCACCAAGAGCTTCTGACATTCTAGATGACACTTGGACTTAATATTTAACTGTTGATTAGGGTCCAGACTCAGTAAAGTTATGGAAGATTCTCATGTTTCAAAGTGATTTTTTTCTGCCAGAAAAGACAGCCCTGAAAGACATTAACCAGTTTTGTATCAAACTTTCCAACTTAATTCCGGCATTTTTTTCCCCACTGTCTGTACATATTCATATCTCATGTCCTCCCTTGAACCAGCTTTATTTTTCTGCTAGTTCCCCCATTGATGAGTTAGGTAACATCTTTGATATGTGCTCACCATGGTTTTGTGTGAGGGTGATGTTTTTAACTTTTAAAAATTTATACTGTGGGGTTTCCCTGGTGGCGCAGTGGTTGAGAGTCCGCCTGCCAATGCGGGGGACACGGGTTCGTGCCCCGGTCCGGGAAGATCCCACATGCCGCGGAGCAGCTGGGCGCGTGAGCCATGGCCGCTGAGCCTGTGCGTCCAGAGCCTGTGCTCCGGAGCGGGAGGGGCCACAACAGTGAGAGGCCCGCATACCGCAAAAAAAAATAAAATAAAATAAAAAATTTATACTGTGAAAACAGATAGTAAAGTTCAGGGATGGTGATGCTGGCAGAAATAGGGCAGAGGCAAAAAAAAAAAAAGTTTCCAACAGTGATGACAATCATTATTGCAATGAAGGGGAATTGATGACCCTTCCAGTTGGAAAGGATCCAAGGTAAACAACCTGCCACCAGTGGCTGGTAGGTGTGAGAACTTTTCACAGAACTACTTGTGCCTTGAGGACCAGCTTGGGTTCAGTCCCCAATATAACACTTCCACTAGATGCTGGGCCTGCCCACTTCATCTCTTGGTGCCTCAGATAATGCACCATCACCTGGGATTCTGTGGCCAGTCAGTGGTCTTCACAGAACCCATGAATATGCCAAGAGCTGATTATTAGTACTAGAAGAATCAATCACCAGACAGATCATGGCTTTTTATAAAACCCCAAGGTTTATTTCTCCTTGAGGCTTACCAGTGGCCCACAGACTACCCTTATTTTTATTTGTTTTTATTACTTTATTGAAGACTAGCATACATACAGAAAAAATATAATCACGAGTATTGTGAAAATTAATAAACAGAAACCTCACTTAAGATGGAGTCAGGGACTTCCCTGGTGGCGCAGTGGTTAAGAATCCGCCTGCAATGCAGGGGACATGGGTTCGAGCCCTGGTCCGGGAAGATCCCACGTGACGCGGAGCAACTAAGCCCATGCACCACAACTACTAAGCTGGCGTACCACAACTACTGAAGCCCACGTGCCTGGAGCCCGTGCTCTGCAGCAAGAGACGTCGCCGCAATGAGAAGTCCGCGCACCGCAACGAAAAGCAGCGCCCCCGCTCGCCACAACTAGAGAAAGCCCAGGGCAGCAACGAAGACCCAACGCAGCCAAAAATAAATAAATAAATAAAATTATAAAACAAAAGAAAAGATGGAGTCAAGAGGCCAGAAGGGGGAGCTCTCATGCCCTGCTCCTTGATGCCAATTGTGTACCCCACGGAAACAAACTACCTTGCACTCCCAAACAGGAGGGGCAACCGCTTTACTATACCAAAGGAAGAATTTCTCCTCGCTTAGCAACAGCCCAGCCAATGAGAAGTCATTGCCACCCCTGAACTCCTACTTTCCTCCAACGAACTTTCACGTAGAATAGCCCCTCCCAACTCCCCCCTTTTCCTTATAAAAGCAGACTCCCTTCCTTTGCTCTCTGGGCTTGCCTGTAGTTCCTCATAGATTGTGAGACCTGAGTTGCAATTCTTCTGTTCCTGGATAAACCCATTTTGGTGATAAAATAACCCGGTGTTTTATTGGTTTTAGTTCAGCATTATACAGCTTGATAGGTTTACATGAAGTGAATATGCCATGTAATCAGCACCTAAATCAAGAAACAGAAAATTATTTTTTAAAAAGGGGGTAGGGTGGAGAAAACAAACAAAAAGAAAACGGAAAATGATAAGCCAATCCAGAGCCGCCTCCTGTCCCCATCTAGTCACTACCTCTTCCCAGGGTAATAACCCTTCTGGCTTCTAACCTATGCTCTTTGGAATCTGGCTTCCTTTACTCAGCATTAGATTTGTGACATATAGTTGAAGTTCATTCATTCTCATTTCTGTGTAGCATTGCACAGTGTGACTAAACCAGGTATTGGTGCTAATGTGGAGCAACCAGAACTCTCCTACACTGCTGATAGGACTATAAATTGGACTAACCATGTGTATTGTGATTTATATTAAGAAATACATATTTGGTCTTTGTCCCTGTACCTTGCACTGAGCTCCTAAAGCCCTAGAACTTTCCTAAGTGATAAGAGCTATAGATAAAGGTGCCTTTTCTTATTCATACAAGCCCCTTTCAACCACACCTGAGTTTATGTTAATGAGGTGACTTTTGGAAAGCCACAAAGCTGGTTGCCAGGGGAACCAATCAGGAGATTAGAGGTTTGCAACTTTTGGTCCTACTCCAACCCCTAGGAGAAAGGAGAAGGGCTGGAGATCAGCTTAATCACCAATGGCCAATGATCTAATCAATCGTGCCTATATAGTGACACCTCCCTAAAAATCCCTGAGCTATGGGGTTTGGAGAACTTCTGGGTTGGTGAATAAGAAAACATCCATGTTCCAAGAAGGTGGTACACTCCACACTCCAAGGGGAAGGAAGCTTCTGTGTTGTGGGGTTTTTTTTTTGTTTGTTGGCCTCTCCACATGGCTTGAGGGATCTCAGTTCCCCAAACAGGGATTAAAGATTGAACCCGCACCCTGGGCAGTGAAAGTGTGGAGTCCTAACCACTGGACCGCCAGGGAATTCCCGAAGCTTCTGTGTTCTGTGCTCTGGATCCTTCCGGACCTTGCCCTATGCATCCCTTCATCTACCTGTTCTGTTAGCATTCTTTCATATCCTTTGTAATAAACTGGTAATCTTCTAAGTAAACTGCTTTCCTGCGTTCTGTGAGCCACTCTAGCAAATTAATTGAACTGGAAGAAGGGATTGTGGGAACCTCCAATCTGTAGGTACTTGCCAACATCACTTGAAGTTGCAGGTGGGCCATCTCCTGGAACTGAGCCTGTTAGGGAATCGTTGACCGAAACCGCCCGCCTTGGCTAGACATGATGATAACTTCTTGAATGAGCTGTTTCGCAGCAAGAGGTCCCAATAAGGCTCAGGGTGCTGCCACCCAAAACGAACTGGGAGAATGCGGGAGGGGCCCAAAGGAGGGAGGACACGCCAGCCCACAGTATGTCTTGTAAAACTAACCCAGAAGAATTCAGGAGGGGCCAAAAGGAGGAGGGAGGAGATGATATGTCCTGCCAACCTCCCAGAAAGCCTCACGCTGGAATCCATCTTGGCTGAGAGATGCGTGCGCCTCCAGGAAGGATCCTGAGTCAGAATAATTGGCCAGAGACAACCGGAAACTAACCCCATCACTGTAAAACTTGAGACTGCGAACCATGTGACAGAGCAGTTCTGCTGGGTTCCCTTACCCTGCTGCTCCCCACCCAGGTGCCCCTTCCCAATAAAGTTTTTTGCTTTTGTCAGCACGTGTGTCTCCTCGGGCAATTCATTTCCAAGTGTTAGACAACAGCCCTCTCTTGGGCCCTGGAAGGGGTCCCCCTTCCTGCAACAAGCCCTTAACTTGCAGGATCTCATGTTAACTCCAGCTAGTGTCAGAACTGAATTGAAGTGTAGGACCCCATGCCAGTTGGAGAATTGCTTGGTGTGGGAAAACCTCCACGCATTTGGTGACCAAAATACAGAAGTATTCTAGTAATGGAGAAACACAGGAGTTCCCTTAGAGCCACTTTGAAAAATAGCCTGGCAGTTATCAACTACAGCTGAACTTACACCTACACCAAGATAGAGCAATTCCAACCTGTGAAATAAAATTCATGTTTTATGGCAAGATAAGAAAAGTTTAAACACAAAAATTTTTTTCTCTGCCCTTTGGCCTCCTCTCTCCCCTCTGCAGCGCACTGTGTATCTGCATTAGGCATCGACCAAACCTCCCCCATTGGCAGAAATACCTGCTCTACCATAAAGGGAAACATTCTCCAGGCATCAACAAGACAACTCCTTAAAAGATAACATTCCTTCTGGATCTTGTAAGGGGACACAGGACCCACCACTTGGTACTCACAGATCTGGATTGTGCAAACTATCTATGTCATTTAATGTACAGTCTTCTGTCTCAAAAACCTATATAACTGTGCTTTGACCTGTAATGGGTGGAACGGTTCTCAGAGCTTTCTGAGAGGCTGTTCCCAGGTTATAATCTTCCATTTGGCTCAAATAAAATTTTCCATTTCTTTCCTAGATCAACTGATTAATTTTTTTCGTTGACAAACCACAAAGTATATATCCAACAAGTGCATACAGAAGGTACAAACAAGATTAGGGTTAGTAGATGCAAACTATTACATATAGAATGGATGGACAATAAGGTCCTACGGTATAGCACAGGGAACTATATTCAGTGCGATAAACCATAATGAAAAACATGTAAAACTGAGAATATAAAAAGAATATATAGGGCTTCCCTGGTGGCACAGTGGTTAAGAGTTCGCTTGCCAAGGCAGGGCACATGGGTTCGAGGCCTGGTCTGGGAAGATCCCACATGCCGCGGAGCAACTAAGCCCCTGCACCACAGCTACTGAGCCCGCGTGCCACAACTACTGAAGCCCTTGCGCCTAGAGCTGGTGCTCCGCAATAAGAGAAGCCACCGCATAGAGAGGCCCATGCACTGCAACAAAGAGTAGCCCCCATTCGCGGGAATTAAAGAAAGCGCGTGTGCAGCAATGACCCAACGCAGCCAAAACTAAAATAAATAAATAAAATTTTTAAAAAAAGAACATATATATAAAACAGTCACTTTGCTGTCCAGCAGCAATTAACACAACATTGTAAATCAACTATACTTCAATTAAAAAAAAATTTTTTTTTAAAGGTACAAACAAGAATGCTCACAGCAGCACTATTCGAAAGAACCCCTAACTGGAAACTTCCTAAATGCACATCAATAGTAAACCAGACAAACTGTAGTGTAGTCACCACTTTTGAGAGCCCCTGGATCACTGCATTATAAGACCCAAATGGCAGAGTCCTTTGCACTTGTAGGGACCTAGGGCAGGCCATCCCAGAATATACCTCAACGGCATATTGATAATTTCGAATGAAAGTTACTGAAAAAATGACTGATACAAGAGGGACACTTTGACCTTCCTCTCTGTCTCCCTGAAAACAGGAAATATATCTCCCATGTGAATGGTGTCTTCCCTGTACTGAGAGGTAGAAAGACTCCCTTATCACCAGAGACAGGGAATTCAGGGCCAAGTAGGCTATATAAACAATATAAACAGTTACTTCTTTACTAATTTACTACCCAAGCCCAAACTTTGCTTAAATTCCTTAGTAATGAAGCACCCAAACCTAAGTTTCTTTGTTTTGTCAATTACTCTCCAATTTATTGTTTCTTTGTCTAAAAGAAACAATTTTTGTCTAGAAGTTGCCTGTTTTGGCCACTTCTTAGGTTCCATTTCTATGAGACCTCCATGGGCAAGGATTAAAATGTGTCTCTTTTTCTCCTGTTAATCTGTCTTGTGTCAATTTTATTACTAATCCAGCCACAAGAACTCAAGAGGGGTGAAAAGAGAAATTTCCCCTCTCCGATACACTATATCTTGGACCAGCTAGAGAACCTCCTCTTGCATGGGGCTCAGAAGCTTTAGAGTTTTCTTTGCTGATGAGTGAGAGCAAGTCTCCCAACCATGAAGCAAATTGCCTCCAAAACTCCAAGAGGGCCTCCAAACATTTTGGCTTTTTTGTAGTGCGTGGGCGGGGGAGACACAAGTTTCAGCAACTCGCCTTTTGTTTTGGAAAAAATATCGCATTCCAACATACCTCTTCTTTTGGATCTCCAAAACATCTTTGAGCAGGCAGGTTCCTGTATTTTTCTGAGACAGAACCTTCTGTAATGCCCATAAGTCTAACCAATGCCTCCATGGCACACGTTTCATTGTATTCTTGGAAGATCATAATTCTGGCAAAAGATTTGTTTTTTCTAGTTCCTGGGGTGGCTCTAGGATGGGTTCTTTGCGCCACGGATGAGCAGTCCTTTAGAGAGAAGACACATCACACAGTGTAGAACCAGCACCAGCAGCTGGCTCCAACCTCTGGAAACCCTGGGGAAAAAAGGATACCATTGGCCAAAGAGAGACATTACGGTGTGTTGGATCCTACTGATTGCCAACCCGATAGCTATTTCCACCTCTTTCTTGCTAATCCAACCTTGGATTTATTGGGGAGGTCGGAGGTAAAGAAGTCCAGTTTAGATGATCCGTGGTCTACCTAATTCTTAAGGTGATGATGTCGCCCCCTAGAGGACATTTTGAAAATTATGGAGGGAAATTATTTTTGGTCGTCAACTGATTCTCAGGGGGACAATATTGCTCCCTTGGGGATGTTTTGGAAATTTGCGTGAACTTTTGGGACATCACAATAATGAGGAGGTTGTTACCTACCGGCACCAGAGGATAGGGAGTGGGGATGATAGGATGTCCTGCGACATTACGTTGGTAATGAATGATTACCTAATGAACGCAGTTAACGATAGTTCATAAATAATGGAAAGAACAGTTTACACTAAGGTATATTAAGCTGTCATGCTGAACTTTTCCAGTTCTTTTGGAATTGTGTGCATAGCAAAGTCATGGTAGACTCCTGGAAATTTACAAAATGTATACCACTATGTTTGGGGTAATAAAAATGTTTTGGAACTTGATAGAGATGGTGGTTGCCAATGGTGGCTGTACTAAATGCCACTGAACTGGTCACTTTCAAATGGTTAATTTTAGGGACTTCCCTCGCAGTCCAGTGGTTAAGGCTCTGGGCTTCCACTGCAAGGGGCACGGGTTCGATCCCTGGTTAGGAAAATAAGATCCTGCATGATGTGACGCAGCCAAAAAATAAAATAAAATGGCTAATTTTATGTTATGTGAATTTCACTTCTGTAAAAAAATGTTTAAAAATATATAAATTTGAGAATATATCATTACATTGAAATTTCTCTATAAGCTTTAGAAATGTATAAGGGGAAAGAGGGAAAGGGGACACTTTTAGATGTTGAATGAGTCTAGAAGTGCAGAGAAAATAATTTATAGAGCAGTTAGCTTTACTTTACAGGGCTCTTTTTAACAAAGTGATCATTTGACAAGAGTTACTAAATACTCACAGGTAAAGGCTCAGATCACTCCCTAACCAAATGCAAATGAGTACATGCCATGGATCTTTAAGGTCAATTTCAAGGTCAACATATTAACAAATAAATCATTCAACGCTAAGGATCTGTTTTCGCTCTTCAAAAGAGATTGACTCCTTTATTTTCCTTTCTATGATCCATTTACCTTTCTCTTTAATAATATAAGGCAACTCAGCAAAAGTGTTTATTTCCAAAGTCTTATCCAAAAGATACTTGATATAGCCCTCTGCTGCCCAGTCATTCCATGACTTCTAAAAGTCTTTCCTGCACAGAGATTATTTGATCCTGTCATTGGACCATTTGATCCTGTGATTGGAAATAGTAGCACGGCATAGTTCGATAGCTTTAGATTCAGAACTTTAAAAACAGTTTAAAAAAAAAAAACTTTTTATTATGGAAAAATTCAAAGATACACAAAAATAAAGGGAAGAGTAAAATGAACCCTCATGTACCCATCATCCAACTTCAACAATTATAAACTCATAGCCAGACAACCAACAAGGACCTACTGTATAGCACAGGAACTATACTCAATATTTTATAATAACTTATAAGGGAAAAGAATCTGAAAAAAATAGATATGTATGTAAAAAATGATACAAATGAACTTATTTACAAAACAGAGACTCACAGACATAGAAAACTTAATGGAAAAGAATCTGAAAGAGAATATATATATATATTCTGAATCACTTTGCTGTACACCAGAAACTAACACAACATTGTAAATCAACTGTATTTCAAATAAGAAAGAAAGGAAGGAAGGAAGAAAGACACCAGTCATGTTGGATTAGGGCCCACCCTAATGATTTCATCTTAATTTGATTACATCTGCAAAGACCCTATTTCCAGGTAAGGTCACATTCATACGAAGCAGGGATTGGGACTTGAACATATCTTCTGAGGGAACACAGTTTGACCCATAACACTTCATACAGATTGAATTCATCAATCTGTATAATGAAATGTATGTACTTTATCATATTATACTTTTATTAAAACATATTATTTTTGGGGACTTCCCTGGTGGCGCAGTGGTTGGGAGTCCGCCTGCCAGTGCGGGGGGGTGCACGGGTTCGCGCCCTGGTCTGGGAAGATCCCACATGCCGCGGAGCAACTAAGCCCTTGCGCCACAATTACTGAGCCTGCGTTCTAGAGCCCGTGTGCCACAACTAGTGAGTCTGCATGCCACAGCTACTGAAGCCCGCATGCGCAGAGCCCTGCTCTGCAACGAGAGAAGCCACCGCAATGAGAAGCCCGTGCACCCCAACGAAGAGTAGCCCCCACTCGCTGCAACTACAGAAAGCCCACGTGCAGCAACGGAGACCCAACGCAGCCGAAAATCTAATAATAAATTTATTTTAAAAAATTAGTTTTTAAATCTCCATGTATTATTTGACTCTCATAGCAGACAGTGTGTACAGAATGGCTTAGAAAGTGTATTGACCTGTACTTTCCTGGTGGTTCAGTGGGTAGGACGCTGCACTCCCAATGCAGGGGGCCCAGGTTCGATCTCTGATCCGGGAACTAGATCCCACATGCATGCCGCAATTAAAAGGTCCCATGTGCTGCAACTAACACCTGGTAGAATCAAAATAAATATAAATTAAAAAAAAAAGCAGAGCCATGAGAGATACCCAGAGCTTAAAAAAAGCAGATCCATGAGAAATACTCAGAGCTTAATCCAATGTCTTTTTTTTTTTTTAATTGAAGTATAGTTGGTTTACAATATTGTGTTAGTTTCAGGTGCACAGCAAAGTGATTCAGTTTTACATTTTTTTGGAGAACGTTTTCTCTTATAGATTATTACAAGATATTGAGTATAGGTCCCTGTGCTATACAGTAGGTCCTTGTTGGTTATCTAGTTTTTATTTAGTAGTGTGTATATGTTAATCCCAAACTCCTAATTTATGCCCCCAATCCAATGTCTTTTTTTGTTTGTTTAATTAATTTTTCTTTTTTTATGGCCTTGCCACGCGGCTTGCAGGATCTTAGTTCCCTGACCAGGGATTGAACCTGGGCCCACAGCAGTGAAAGTGCTGAGTTCTAATTACTGGACCGCCAGGGACTTCCCCCCAGTGTCTTTTATTTATTTATTTATATAAATTTATTTACTTATTTTTTTATTTTTGGCTATATTGGGTCTTCATTGCTGCTTGCGGGCTTTCTCTAGTTGGGGCGAGCAGGGGCTACTCTTCCTTGCAGTGTGCAGTCTTCTCATTGCAGTGGCTTCTCTTGATGCAAAGCACAGGCTCTAGGCATGCGGGCTTCGGTAGTTGTGGCACGCAGGCTCTAGAGCGCAGGCTCGGTAGTTGTGGCTCACAGGCTTAGTTGCTCTGCGGCATGTGGGATCTTCCCGGACCAGGGCTCCAACCTGTGCCCCCTGCACTGGCAGGCGGATTCCTAACCTCTGCGCCACCGGGGAAGTCCCCCCAGTGTCTTTTAAATAGCCCTAAGAGTTACATGGTTCTAACAGGAAGAACAGGAAAAGAATTCAGACTAGAATGAAGCAAGACTCACATCTTTCTTCCACTGTTCTCCACAGTGACTGCAATTTAGAATCATCTGGGGAGCATTCTGTAAAATTCCCAATGTCTCAGCTCCACCCCGGACCAATTAAGCAGTCTCTGAAGGTGGGGCCTGGGCACTGCCTTTGCTAAAAAGCTCTCCAGATAATGCTAATGTGCAGGTGGGTGAGAACCGCTGCATTGGTTAATGGTGAGCAGTCACCTGGGTGGAAGTAATTATGTAATCCTTAAACCCAGGAGCCTGATCTACTGAATAACTGGTCTCCAACCCTTTTAAGTTACACAGTCTCAGTTTGGGCAGCTGTTCTGATTAGCTGTTGCTAAAAACCAAACTGCCCATGGGTATATATCCAAGAGAAGTGAAAACTGTCTCAAAGAGATATTTGTATACCCATGTTCACAGCAGCACTGTTCATCCTAGTGGAAAAGGTAGAAACAACCCAAATGTCTATTGATGGATGAATGGATAAACAAAATGTGGTATGTACTTACAGTGCAATATATTCAGCCTTAAGAAGGAAGGAAGTTCTGACACATGCTACACATGGATGAACCTTGTGGACCTTATGCTAAATGAAATAAGTCAGTCACAAAACGATAAATACTGTATGATTTCACTTATATGAGGTATCTAGAGTAGTCAAACTCATAGAAACTAAAAGTAGAATGGTGGTTGCCAGGGGCTGGGTGGAGGGGAAAATGGAGAATTGTTTAATGGGTATAGAGTTCCAGTTTTGCAAGATGAAAAATTTCTGGAGATTGGTAGCACAATGATGTAAATGTACTGAACAATACCAAACTGTACACTTACAAATGGGTGAGCTAGTACATTTTATGGGATGTGCATTTTACCACAATTAAATAAAAAACTTCCCTGAAGTTTGGCGGCTTGAAGCAGCAACAATCATTTGATTATCTTTTTTTTTTAAGGTGGCTGACATTTATTCTTTTTTTTCAAGACAAACAATTTTTATTGAAGTATAGTTGATTTACAATGAGGTATTAGTTTCACTTGTACAGCAAAGTGATTCAGTTATACGTATATATTCTTTCTCAGATTCTTTTCCATTATAGGTTACTACAAAATATTGAATATAGTTCCCTGTGCTACACAGTAGGATCTTGTTTATTTTATATATAGTAGTGTGTATATTTTAATCCCATATTCCTAATTTATCCCTTCCCCCCTTCTCCCTTTGGTAACCATAAGTTTGTTTTCTATGTCTGTGAGTCTGTTTCTGTTTTGCAAATAAGTTCATTTGTATCTCTTTTTAGATTCCACATATAAGTGATATCATATGATATTTGTCTCTCTCTGTCTGACTTACTTCACTTACTATGATAATCTCTAGGTCCATTCGTGTTGCTGCAAATGGCATTGTATCATTCTTCTTTTATGGCTGAGTAACATTCCATTGTATATTTGTACCACATCTTCTTCACCCATTCCTCTGTTGATGAACATTTAGGTTGTATCTATGTCTTGGCTATTGTAAATAGTGCTGCTATGAACACTGGGGTGCATGTATCTTTTCGAATTAGAGTTTTCATCTTTTCCACATATATGCCCAGGAGTGGGATTGCTAGATCGTATGGCAACTCTATTTTTAGTTTTTTAAGGAACCTCCACGATGTTTTCTGTCGTGGCTGCACCAATTTCATTTTATTATCTGTTACAGTGTCTGTGAGTCAGGAATTCAGGATGGCTGATTCTGGCCTGGGACTTCTCATATGACTGCAGATCATATGATTAGAACTGGAACAGTGGATGAATGGAGAGCTAGGGGCTGGGCAGGGACCTCTCCATCTTTGTATAGTTTCAGGGCTTCTCCGCACGGTGTCTCCTCATGGGCTGGTTGGGCTTCCTCTCAACATGGTGGCCTCAGCGCAGTAGGACTGCTTATCTGGCAGTTCAGGGCTCAAACTCAAGTGTTCCCACGAACAGGGTGGAAGTGGCCTGCTCTTTCCTGACTTAGCTCAGAAGTTAAGCAGTGTCCCTTTTGCCACATTCTATTGGTCAAACAGTCACCAAATCCAGTCCAGTTTCAAGGAAGGAAACATAGACCTCCCACCCCTTCAACGGAAGTAGTGTCAAAGGGATGTTGCGAGAAGAGTATGTAGGATGAGAGATATTATTGTACCCATCTTTGCAAAATGCCATCAGCCACAGTGATGATCAAGACAACTTAGTGAGGGACTTCCCTGGTAATCTAGGGGATGCCGGTTCCACCCCTGCTTGGGAAACTAAGATCTCACATGCCACGGAGCAGCTAAGCCCGTGTACCGCAACTACTGAGCCCACGTGCCACAACTAGAGAGCCGGTGTGCCTCAACCACAGGGCCCATGCGCTCTGGAGCCTGTGTGCCACAATTAGAAAGAAGCCTGCATGCCACAACTAAGACCGGACGCAGCCAAAAATAATAAATAAATAAATATTGATTTAAAAAAAAAAGAGAACTTAGTGAATCCCCTTGTCGCCATAATTTTTTCCCTAGTTGACATCATTTAACGCTGGGGAATATTTGGAGTTAAATATAGAAATGTTCAAGTGACCCAGACCTCAGGAATGAATTTTTTTTAATTTATTTATTTATTTATTTTTGGTTGCATTGGGTCTTCATTGCTGTGCACAGGCTTTCTCTAGTTGTGGCTGAGCGGGGGCTACTCTTTGTTGCAGTACACCGGCTTCTCATTGTGGTGGCTTCTCTTTTTGTGGAGCATGGGCTCAAGGCATGCGGGCTCAGTAGTTGCAGCACACAGGCTCAGTAGTTGTGGCTCATGGGCTCTAGAGCACAGGCTCAGTAGTTGTGGCACATGGGCCTAGCTGCTCCGTGGCACGTGGGATCTTCCCGGACCAGGGCTCAAAGCTGTGTCTCCTGCATTGGCAGATGGATTCTTAACCACTGCGCCACCAGGGAAGTCCCAGGAATGAATCTTTTGGTTTAAGGAATTTGTGCATATTTGGCTTTTTATGTACCAGAAATGTTTAAGAGAATCTGGCCTTCCAGAGTTTCCTGGTGAGATCTGTAGTTCTCAAAAAAAATTCTCAAAACTTTTCCCTGCATTTATTTAAAGACCTGGGATGACTAACTCTAAAATAGTTTAGCAAAATAAAAAAAAAAATATATATATATATAAAATGTGTGTGTGCGTGTGAGAGAATAAATGTGTCAAAACTTAAAATTAATGAATCTAGATAAAGTTATGTAAATATTCATTGGACTGTTTCTTGTTTTTATAAATTTATTTTATTTTTATTTGTTTTTGGCTGCATTGGGTCTTTGTTGCTGTGCATGGGCTTTCTCTAGTTGTGGCGAGCAGGGGCTCGTCTTCATTGCAGTGCGTGGGCTTCTCATTGCGGTGGCTTCTCTTGTTGCAGAGCATGGGCTCTAGGCATGTGGGCTTCAGTAGTTGTGGCTCGCGGGCTCCAGAGCGCAGGCTCAGTAGTTGTGGCGCGCGGGCTTAGTTGCTCTGCGGCATGTGGGATCTTCCCGGACCAGGTCTCAAACCCGTGTCCCCTGTGTTGGCAGGCGGATTCTTAAGCACCGTGCCACCAGGGAAGCCCTGGACTACTTTGTGTAAGCTTGAAGATCTTTTTTTTTTTAAGCTTGAAGATCCAAGTTTTTTTAATTGGTTAACTTCATCTTTTTTTTTTTTTTTTTTTTTTGTGCGGTACGTGGGCCTCTCACTGTTGTGGCCTCTCCCGTTGAGGAGCACAGGCTCCGGACGCGCAGGCTCAGCGGCCATGGCTCACGGGCCCAGCCGCTCCGCGGCATGTGGGATCTTCCTGGACCGGGGCATGAACCAGTGTCCCCTGCATCGGCAGGCGGACTCTCAACCACTGCGCCACCAGGGAAGCCTGGTTAACTTCATCTTTGATTTATTGGTGTCACTTTTTCCCTTCATTAGAATTAAAAATTAACTATAATGATACAAACATATCAGTTATATAAATCAATATCATAAAGCATAACTTAACTAATTATGAAGATACAGTATACTATAACTCATAGGACAAAAAAGGGCCTATTAAAAGTCCCAAATATAAAAATTTTTGACAGAATAAAGTAAAATTAAAATTATCAAATGGCTCTTCTCATTCTGTCCCTGAACTTCAAACCATCTGCACCTGCATCTCATCCTCTATAGTAAGATAAGGGGTAAGGTCATGATTGGAGGCTGAACTGGGGGTCAGGAAGGCAGTCAGGAAAGGGCCTTTCCTAGGGGGCCCAGCAATATTTGGAAGAAACATGACAAATCTGAAGAGGCATGTGCTTCCCAAACTTGCTCATTTCAAAGACAGCCTCAAATTATTCTAAGCAAAGCAGTGCTCATTCTGAAAGAGTTGACTTGCATCTTTAGTGCTCAGGATCCTGAATTTCATTTTATTTTATTTTTTTGCTGAGCCAGTGGCTTGCAGAATCTTAGTTTCCCGACCAGGGATTGAACCTGTGCCCTCCGCAGTGAAAGCACAGAGTCCTAACCACTGGACCACCAGGGAATTCCCTAGGATCCTGAATTTTTTACATTCTCTGTTTGCTTCGAAGTACAATGATCACATATTGCAATTATCAAATAGATTTCAAGGCTTAAAAAAAATAAAGAGACTTCCCTAGTGGTGCAGTGGTTAAGAATCCGCCTGCCAGTGCAGGGGACATGGGTTCGAGCCCTGGTCTGGGAAGATCTCACATGCCGTGGGGCTACTAAGCCCGTGCGCCACAACTACTGAGCCTGCGCTCTAGAGCCCGCGAGCCACAACTACTGAGCCCCTGTGCCACAACTACTGAAGCCCGCACGCCTAGAGCCTGTGCTCCGCAACAAGAGGAGAAGCCACAGTGAGAAGCCCACACGCCTCAACGAACAGTAGCCCCTGCTCGCTGCAATTAGAGAAAGCCCGTGTGCAGCAAGACACAACGCAGCCAAAAATAAATAAATACATAAATAAATTTATGAAAAAATAAAATAAAAAGACCATACACAAAACTAATACAATGTTATATGTCAATTATATCTCAGTTTTTAAAAAATTCATGATCGGGTGTCTCAATGATCCCTTTGTCCCCTGGGGTCACCATGGCACAGTCACCTGACTTCTTTTCATTCCTCCAGAGTCTGTTTGGTCATTACTTCCTCTGAGAGATGTTCCCTGAAACCACAGTACAAAATACTCCCCCTAGAGGTTATATATTGCCTAGTACAGGGCTGGGCATTGAGGACATCCTCAGGGAAATGTAAATGAATAAACCTATCAGATAGACTAAATTCAGAAAAATGGAGGGTGAGTTCACATTCTCACAATATTATTTCCTGACTCCTACACTAAGCCAGACACTGTCATAGCTCCTTCTTTTCCTTGACAGCACTTCTCAAAGTTTCTGTTTATTTTTCTGCCACTTTCAGCAGAGAAAGGAACTAAAGTCAGGGAGAGAAAGAGAATTGGGGTTGGGCAAAAACAGAGAGAAAAGGAGAAGAGAGAATTGGGTGGGGAGAATATTCGGGTTATCTAATGCTCTGTAGCAAGTGATCAGCAAACTTGCGCCGCAGAGCTTTCTGGTTCTTAGTTCCCCAACCAGGGGAACTGGGGCCCAAGCAGTGAAAGCGGCCAAGTCCTAACCACTGGACCACCAGGGAATTCTCAGCAAACAATTATTTTTCTTACAGATCAGCACTTTGGGCACGGCTTGGCAAGAATGGCTTCTCTCTCCTTCCTCTGGGGTGACTTGACTGTCTGCCAGAGGATCTCCTTCCAAGACGGCTCACTCACGTGGCCAGCAAGATGGTGCTGGCTGTTGGCTGGGGCTGTTGGCCGGGCTGAGGGTCAGAAGCTTTGGTTCCTCTCCATGTGGACGTCTCCATAAGGTGCTTTGTCTTGTGCTAGTATGGAGGCTGGGGTTAAGAGCAAGTGTCCCAACAGAAAGTGGAAGATGACCACTTCCGTTTTTTAAAAACAGCTTCACTGAGATATTCGCAGACCATGCAATTCAGTCGTTTAAAGTGTACAATTTGGGCTTCCCTGGTGGCGCAGTGGTTGAGAGTCTGCCTGCTGATGCAGGGGACGCCGGTTCGTGCGCCAGTCCAGGAATATCCCACATGCCGCGCAGCGGCTGGGCCCGTGAGCCATGGCCGCTGAGCCTGTGCGTCCGGAGCCTGTGCTCCGCAATGGTAGAGGCCACAACAGTGAGAGGCCCGCGTACCTCAAAAAAAGAAATGCTGTAAAGTGTACAATTCAGTCATTTTGGGTGTATTACATTATTAATTTTTTAAAAATTGTGGTAAAAATGTATAACATACAATCCACCATTTTAACCAGTTTTAAGTGAACAGTTCAGTGGCATTAAGTACATTCACAGTGTCATGCAACCATCACCACTACCTACTTCTTTTTCATTACCTTTTGTATCTGGGTTCGTTCACTTAGCATAATATTTTCAAGGTTCATCCAAATTGTGGCATGTATCAGTGCTTCATCCGTTTTTATGGGTGAATATTATTCCATTGTATTGATTTACCACATTTTATTTATCCATTCATCACCTGATGGATGGATTTGGTTGTTTCACATTTGGCTATTGTGAATAATGTTGCCATGATGATTGGCATACAAATATCTGTTTGAGTCTCTGCTTTCAATTCTTTGGGTATATGCCTAAGAGTGGAATTGCTGGGTCCTATGATAATTCGACGTTTAGCTTTTTGAGGGGAGGCTGCCCATTTCTTAAGGGCTGGACTCAGAAATTGGCCCAGCATTCACTTCTATCATATTCTATTTTTTAAAAAATAAATTTATTTATTTATTTATTTTTGGCTACGTTGGGTCCTTGTTGCTGCGCGCGGGCTTCCTCTAGTTGTAGCGAGCGGGGGATACTCTTCATTGTGGTGCCAGCTTCTCATTGTGGTGGCTTCTCTTGTCATGGAGCACAGGCTCTAGGTGCACGGGCTTCAGTAGTTGTGGCATGTGGGCTCAGCAGTTGTGGCTCATGGGCTCTAGAGCGCAGCCTCAGTAGTTGTGGTTCACGGGCTTAGTTGTTCCACGGCATGTGGGATCTTCCTGGACCAGGGCTCGTGCCCGTGTCCCCTGCATAGGCAGGCGGATTCTTAACCACTGTGCCACCAGGGAAGTCCCTCCATATTTTTTGAATGATATATTTAAAAAAAATATTTGTTTATTTGGCTGTGCCGGGTTTTAGTTGAGGCATGAGGGATGTTTACGTGTGGCATGTGATGTCTTAGTTGCAGCCTGTGGGATCTAGTTCCCTGACCAGCGGTCGAACCCAGGCCCCCTGCATTGGGAGTATGGAGTCTTAACCACTGGACCTCCAGGGAAGTCCCTTGAATGATATTTTGACCTCTGATGAATTGCTACCCTTTTCTGAGTCTCAGAGTCATATTGTAAAAGGGGAGGAAATATCTATCTCTGAGGTTCACAGGGTATGTACCTCACTGGACAAGGTCAGAGCACATAGTAGGAGCTTAATGTACCACCAGCAGTATAACCTCCTGAGGAAGCACGTGGGCCTGGATTTGAATCCTAGCTTCACTACTTCTAAGATATAAGACTTTGTTCAGGCCACTAATATCGATACTTAACTTTGCTGGACCTCAGACTCTTTAGCTGTGAAATGGGAATATTAAAGAATTTATCTACTCTTGCAAGGGTTAGAGAAATAATCCATATAAAACCCATTTAAATTCCATGAGAGGGCAGCTATTTTTAATTCTTATTTAAAAATTAAAAAAAAATTTTTTTTTACTGTTCTACCCCTAGCACAGAGACTGATGGTTGACAAGCACGTTCTAGGGATTGAACCAGGGCCCTCGGTAGTGAGAGCGCAGAGTCCTAACCCTGGATTGCCAGGGAATTCCCAAACAAGTTCCTAATAAGTATTGGTTGAATGAATAATAAAAAGGTATTTTGCCTAGGGAAAATACATATTAGCTATTATTAGCTATTACTAACCTACAAGATTCCCCACCTGCTTCATATTATGATTTAATCTCTTACCACCCTCTCACTCTGCTCCAGCCACCCTGCCCTCTCCACAGCTCCTTAATTACGTTAGCATGTGCCAGCCTCAGGGCCTTTGCAGCTGCTGTTCTGTCCAGGAATGCTACATTTCCCAGTTATCTACCCAGCTTGTTTCTACGGTTCCTTCAGATCTCTGCTCAACAATCACTTGTCACCCTGTAGTCCCATATCCTGTTTTAATTTTCTCCAAAACATTTATTGGGGGCCTGATTTATATATTTTTTCCTTTGGGCCCTCCTCAAGGGAACGTAAGTTCCATGAGGGCAGAATTTTACCTATTTTACTCACCACCCTATTTCACAACATCCCCGTTACCGGGATTTCGGCAGACGCTCCATTTTACTTGCTGAATTGAAGGCCTCATAAACAAACACTTGGGTATCCTTGTGGGGCCAGAAGCCGCGCGGATTTTTGGCCAGGATTGACAGGAGACTCCATCACGTGACTGGCTGATGCCCGCCCACCTCGGAGGCTAAGGAGGTCCACGTGGTTCCAGGGTCCGGGGGCAGGCGGGGCTTGGAGAAGGTAGTGCGCAGGCGCGATCCCTGGCGCAGGCGCAGATGCGGCCTGGGTGCGCGGCCCGTGGCGGTTGGCGGCTTGTGGGGCCGGCGGGCGGTTGCCGTGAGCAGGACCAGAGCTCCGGCGCTGAGAGCCGGCGCCATGGTGGAGAAGGAGGAGGCAGGCGGCGGTATCAGCGAGGAGGAGGCGGCTCAGTATGACCGGCAGATCCGTCTCTGGGGATTGGAGGCCCAGAAACGGTAAGGGCCGGTGCGGCTTGTGGGACTGAGGGTTTGGAGGGTGGTCTGGCCTGAGGCGTTGGGGAGCCGGAGGGTTTAATTTGAAGAGAGGAGGCGGGAATCGTGTACCCGGCCGTGGTCGCCTTCCTGAGAGGACTGGAGGGGTTGATTTGGGATGTTTCCTCGGAAGGTATGGGAAGCGGGGACGTCCTAGGTGGTGGGAGGGCTGTTCCGAGGAATTGGCGACCTCTAGAAGGGGAGCTGGGGGAGTTCTGAGCGATCCGGAGGATGCAGACTCAGGAACTCGACGCCCGGAGGGAGCGATGGTGGCGTTTGGATCGGGGTTGGGGACTTAGGGAATAGGAGGGGCCAGGAATGCGTGGAAACGATGAAAGTGGCGGGGGGGCATAGTTCATTCATTCATAGGTAGTGGAAACCTGTTCTCTGCTGGATGCTGGGGAGACTGGCGAGCCCAGTAGATGAGAGCTTGCATTCATTTTTGTGGCCTCTAAGGAGTGGGCCAGTCTGAAAGAGTGAGGTTTTTTTCCGAGGGGTTTTGGAGCAAGTAATTTCAAGTGAGGTTCCTGAGAGGCTCGGAGAGTCTGGGGGTGCTGGAGGTACCCGAAGAGATTGCTTGTGTCTAGATCTGGGGGTGTGTCCCGAGAGGACAGGATTGGGGATACCTTGGGCATGGGGGAGTAATTATCGGAGGGGATGAGGTCTTTGAAAGAGGTGGTCGATATGACCAGATATTTATTGAGTACCTGCCACCGGCGCTGAGCGGGTATTAATGAACTAGGCAGGCTCCTTGCCCACATGGAGCTTACGTTCCGGTGGGGGAGGCAATACACATAAAAAATAATAAAATATTAGGCAATGCAAGTGCTAGGGAGAAAAAATAAAGCAGGGAAAGAGGATCAATAAAGGATGGTGGGCTGGGAGAGCTATTTTGATAGGGTGGCCAGGGGAGGCCTCTGAAGAGGTAACATTGAGCCTCGGACCTGTATGAAAGGAAAGAGCCCTGTGGCCATCTGGGAGGATCTTCCTAGCGTAGGGGACAAGTGTAAAATCCTAGAGGCCAGAGCATGCTTGGCAAATGAGAGCAACAGGGTGGCTGGAACCAAATGAGGGGTACCTTTTTTTTTCTTTTTTAAATTAATTAATTGATTGATTTGGGGCTGCGTTGGGTCTTCGTTGCTGCGCGCGGGCTTTTGTCTAGTTGCGGCGAGTGGGGGCTACTGTTCATTGCGGTGCGCGGGATTCTTATTGCGGTGGCTTCTCTTGTTGCGGAGCACAGGCTCTAGGCGTGTAGGTTTCAGTAGTTGTGGCACGTGGGCTCAGTAGTCGTGGCTCGCGGGCTCTAGAGCACAGGCTCAGTAGTTGTGGCACACGGGCTTAGTTGCTCCACGGCATGTGGGGTCTTCCCGGACCAGGGCTCAAACCCGTGTCCCCTGCATTGGCAGGTGGATTCTTAACCACTGTGCCACCAGGGAAGTCCCAGGAGGTAGCTTTTGAATTCTAAGTGTGCTGGGAAACCTGTTGGAGAGTTTTGAGCAGAGGAGTAACACGATCTGAATTGTGTTTGAAAAGGATCGCTCTTGCTGCATGGAGAACAGGTGGAAGTGGGCAGAAGTGGAAATAAGGATTCCGCTTAGGGGGCTGCTGCGGTAATCCCCTTGAGATGCAAGTAATGGTGGCTTGGAACTCTAGGGAAGGGGTCAGATGTAGATTCTGGATATAATTTGAAGGTAGAGGGGACAGGCTTTGCTGAAGGATTAAATGTGTGGAGTGGGAGAGGCAGAACTCAAGGTTTTTGGCCGAAGCAGTTGGAAAGACGGAAGTGCCTTCACTGACTGAGGTGGGGGAAGAGTCAGCAGTTCTATTTTGGACTTAACGTTTTAGCTGTTTACTACACATCTAAGTAGAAATAAATATGTGAGTGGTTGAGTTCAGTGATGAGGTCTGAGTGATGGGGGGTGGTTATGTGATGTGCGTGAGTACAGAGGGCAGAATTAATTGATCCAAGAGTTGGGGAGGCAGGCAGTTCAAGAGGTTTGAGGGGCGGGAGCTTCTACAGCTTTTTGGTGAGAGAGCATGTGTGGTGGGTGG